TCCTCCTCCTCCTCCTCTTCCTCCACTTCCTCCCTTCCTCCTCCTCCCTCCTCCTCCTCCTCCCCTCCTCCTCCTCCTCCTCCTCCTCCTCCTCCTCCCTCCCCCTCCTCCCCCTCCTCCTCCTCCTCCTCCTCCTCCTCCTCCTCCTCCTCCTCCCTCTTCCCCCTCCCCCTCCTCATCCCTCCTCCTCCTCCTCCTCCTCCTCCCTCCTCCTCCTCCTCCTCCTTCCTCCTCCTCCTCCCCTCCTCCTCCTCCTCCTCCCTCCTCCCCCCTCCTCCCCCTCCTCCTCCTCCTCCTCCTCCCTCCTCCTCCTTCCTCCTCCTCCTCCTCCTCCTCCTCCTCCTCCTCCTCCTCCCGCCTCTCATCCTCCTCCTCCTCATCCTCTCCTCCTCCTCGTCCTTCTCCTCTCCTCGTCCTTCTCCTGTCCCCCTCCTCGTCCCTCGTCCGCGTCCTCCTCCTCCTCCTCCTCCTCCTCATTCCTCCTCCTGCTCGCCACCCCTCCATTCTCCCTCCCCTCGTCCTGCCTTCCCCTCTCCTCCCTCCTCCCTCCTCCTGCTCGCCACCCCTCCATCTCCCTCCCCTCCTTCTTCCCGCCTCCCCCCTCCTCCCTCCTCCCTCCTCCTGCTCGCCACCCCTCCATCTCCCTCCCCTCTTCCCGCCTCCCCCCTCCCTCCTCCCTCCTCCTGCTCGCAGCCGCCGCCCCGGCTCGAGGCTTTGGGAGTCCCTTACCAGGTAAGGGACGAGCCTCGCGGGTCGGCCGCCATACGTGCCAGCCAGTCGGGCAATTGGGTGCCCACACTTGGCAGGCCGTGCAGCCGCCATCTCGTGGCCAGCGCCACGGCTCGGCGGCATCTCCGCGAACCAGCTTGGCATCGGCGCGCTCGTGAGCGCCGCAGCCAGGCACGCACAGTCTTGCGCCTCGCGGCAGCCAGGCAGACGCTGTTCTGTCATCACAGCAGCCAACGGATGTCGGCAGCGCCATGGCACACACGCGAAGGGCTGTGGTTATGCTCGTTTTGTGGTTCCTCGCATCCTGCGTCCACGGCCTGGTGCACCAAGTGCTACGCCAAGGGTCAAGGGTCGAGACGCAGAGGCCGCTCTACTTCTCGCGCCCCCTCTCGCTCCAGCCAGGGAGAGTCGACTCCCGCCGCCGCCACGGGCTCGAGCGAGGAGAAGAAGCTCAATAATCAGATGAAGAAGAGAGTGGCCAATTTAGCGGAGGCCAGAGCTCACCCTGCGTGGGTAGAGCCGCCAGCGCTATCAGTGGACAGAGAAGCTCATCGTGCCCATATGAAGTCAGCTATGCAGGCACTGGAGCAACACATTCAGGCCCAAGAAGCTATCGCGACGACGCCGTCGCCGATGCTCGAAGCCAAGCGCCAAGAGCTCGCAGTGTTCCAGTTCATGCACCTGTACGCGTTCTTGCCGAAAGAGAGGGTCGCCAACCAGACCAACTTCCTCAGCCGCGTGACCCGCAGGTTCGAGGAAGCTCAAGAAGCGGAGAGAGCTGCGGAGATTGCGCTCACCATCGCACACAGGGCGAGGGAAGCCTTCGCCACGGAGGTCACCCAGGCGCAGGAGCTGCTGACGATCTTCGAGGAGCTCGCCAAGGAGGAGATCAAAACGGTGTCGTTCGAGGATCCCTCGAACACGTCGGCCACGCAGGCGGCGACGCCGCCTACGGTTCCAACTTCGGGTCCAGCAGTGCCGCAGGTCATCGCGGAGCTGCAGGCGGGCCAGGTCACGTTGACGTCGTCCCTCTCTGCGCTCCAGCACACCATGGTCTCGCTGCAGCAGTCGCCCAGCCAGCTCGTCATCCAGCAGCAATCGTCGCCTTCCTCATCTGTGGCTCCACCTTTGAGTCCAGCACAGCCTGCAACTCCATCGGCAGCTGCAATGGTTCCAGTCTCACACATCGGCAAAGGCGGAGTGATCCGCTCCATCACTGGCAAGGTGTCGCAGGCGCGCAACCAGCTCGAGAAAGCTGCCCGCCAACCTGGTCAACAGAAGCCACGCCTACCATCGAAGCCCAGCGGGCCACAGGACGGAGAGATCGAGGAGGACACGGGCGGCGAGCCGCCCCGCAAGAGCCAGAGGGCGACGTGTTGGAGACTTCCTTTGAGGCTGCGGCTTCGCCAGCGAGTTGTCGCTGACCCGAGCATCTTGTACGCGTGGAGGTCAGTCTGAAGGCCCGTCGGGATCTCGCAACACCTCCCAGCCAACCGATGATCATTCAGGATGTTCGGGCAATACTTTACACTCTGCGTTGAGTGGCGTTACGCCGCCCTGCTCTTCCACCGCGGCCCCTTGGGTTCGAGGTTGTCAGTGCAGTCCTATGCCAAACACTTCTTGGGGTTCTCAATGTCTATTTACTCGTTGGGATCGCCCTCTCAACAAGGCTTATTGGGCCCTCGCCAAATTGGCACTCCGCCACCATCAATGCTCTCCCGCACCTTCTGGACGTTTCATGTCTGGGGGACGTCACTAATGTCCACATCTATACGGACGGCTCGGGAGGCTCCGCTAAGGGTAGGCCTTCATGGGCCTTCGCGGTCTTCTTGGAGGACTCCTTTGGGAACATGGGCTTCTTGGGCTTCGAGGGCGACTACGTGGGCGCTGAGGTGTCTACCGTACTGGGGTCTCTTGCTGCTGAACTTCAAGGTGCTCAGTGGGCCCTCGTGTGGTTCCTACAGTCCGACTACGCCGGCCTAACCCACGAGTGTTCTCTTACTGTCCATTGCGACAACAAGGAGGCCCTTCGGGTTGCTTGCGGAGGGGCCTTGGGAAGGACGTTGTCTTACATGCGCGTGGAGTTAGACAGCGTAGCCAAAGTGACCTCGTATTTCGTTCGCAATCTTTGTTGGGAGCACGTACCGGGCCATTCCAACCATGCTTGGAACGAAATGGTCGATGCGATTGCCACGCGGGTTTCTCTGGGGAAGGGCTGTCTACCCCGCCCAGATCGTCGATGGCGTGCTTGCCTCAGTGACCTTCAGGCGCTGCAGTGGTTGTGGCTTCGCTTCGAGCCGCTCCGGATCCAGCAGCAGTATCCACCTGCGGGTGAAGAACGCATGTCAGTTTTTGTTGAGTCAGCCACGGATAAGGCCTCCGCCTTGTTTCATCTACTGCGTTTCTCAGCTCGGGATTGTTCTGCAGCTGAGGTTCGGGAGAGCGCGGGCGCGCCATCCTCCAGCACAGCTTATTCTCGGCAGTTGTGGGTCGCAGCTGCCAGCGTGTTGTCTCTCAGCCCAAGCAATAGCAAGCATCGCTCTCACGCTCGCCCTTCTGGCCCCTGCCTTTCTGGACGTATGGAACAGCTCAGCACGGCTTTTAAGCAGCAGTCACTATGTATTGTGGGTGCAGTTGAGACGCGCTTCCCTCGTTCTGGAGTTTCTAGCGTACACCCATGCCACATCATGCATGCCGAGGCCGACAGTAAGCACGCAGGTGGTTGTTCCCTTTGGTTGCACACTACCGTCGAAATATTGCCTGGGATCCGTATTGCTCCCAAGCATTGTTGTGTTCTCGCTGCTGCTCCTCGCTACCTCCTAGTCGCTGTTCGCGTGGAGTCGTTCGCTATGGGCGTTCTCGTTGCACGCGCACCACGCAGCAAGAAGCCCGAGCACGAGATACGGGCCTGGTGGGCCCATCTAGCGGGAGTTCTTCACGACCACCGCACCCCGGGAGTCGAGCTGATTTCACTGCTGGACGCCAACGCCAGGATCGGTTCGTCTCTGCCCAGGTTCGTCGGCCCTATCGCGGCCGAGGCGCAGAACCTTCCAGGCCAGTGCTTTCACCGGTTCTTGGAGGATTCAGAGCAATGGGTACCCTTTACGTTCTTGGAGTCACGTGCCGTCGGCCACCTGGTACCCTCCGAAATCCCATGGGCTTTTGTCTGGGCGCCGTATCGACTACGTTACTTGCTCGTTCGGCGCGTCGGTTTCCTCGCAGCATGTCGTCACGGACGTCGATTTGACCATTTCCATTGTGGATCATCTCATGGTTGCAGCGCTAGTTTCGTTACCTACGGCACGTCCAGCCTTGCGAGCATCGGGGGGGCGCAAGCTTCAGCGATCCTGCTGCCGCAGCACGTTTCAAGCAGTTACTTCTACAATGTCCTGCGGTGCCGTTTGCAGTCTCGCCTTCTTCCCACTGCCAGGTGCTCAATGATCATCTTCGTTATAGTGTAGAAGAAGCTTTTCCTGCGAGGACGTCCTCCTCAGGACGCAGCCCGAGACAACCCTGGGTATCCACCGAGACCCTGAAAATGATCGACGCGCGCACATCCCAATTTCGCGGCTACCGACGTGTTGGATTCGCGTGCTTAAACTTACAGCTGGCCTTGGTGTTTCACGTCTGGGCCGAAACGCTGAGGGGTCCATGGGCCTGCCTGCGCACCAGGCAGTGGAAGTTGTCTGAGCGCGGGCCAGGCGCCCTCAGTTCTCGCTGGCAGCACCGCCACGCACATCTGGTGGCTATCTTCAGGCCAGCTTTGCTAGAGCTCGGATTTTACATTGACGACCAGGCGGAGCTCAACCGTGAACACAAGGCGCGCAGGAAACTTTTCTGCAAGCCATCTACGGACTACCTCACCTACTTTCGTCTCTGGGAACGTCTTTGGGGTTCTCGTGATGATCACCTACAGGCAGGACGATGCACTTTGGAAGACATGCATTGGGTGCTCCCTGGTTCCTATGGGCTGTCTGGGTTTAAGGCGTGTTGGAATTACTCGGTTCGTATGGGAGGCCTCTGTTTAGCGGCCCGCGTCGTTGCCCTCGAGGTCATGACTCGCTTCGTCACGCATCGCATTAATCTCGATGCTCGTGCGCGCGCTCTTGCACTCGCTCAAGGTGTTTCCTCGGCTTGGTCTCGGCAGGATTTCAAGGAGGCGTTCTCGGAACTTAAGGGCCATGGGAGCCTGCTCTCGTCGCAAACGTTCGGTTCGTCCTCTTCCTACCCTCCTCGGTGTCGACGGTAAACCACTCACATCTTTCGTCGAGGTTGCGAATCGCTGGCTGCGGCACTTTAGCAACGAGGAGGCCGCGCCAGTCATACCGGAGTCAGACCTACTTTGGTTTTTGGCCTCGCATCCCGCCCTCGACGCGTCGGTGACGCACAGTGTGGACATTAACGTAGAGGACGTGCCGTCCCTCGCAGTCACTCAGCACACGTTTGCCTGCGCCAAAGCCTCGGCGGCAGGGCCCGACGGCATCCCAGGCGCAGTATTGAAGCAGTTTGCGACTTTACTTGGCAGCTATCTCCACCCACTGTACGTTAAGAGCACGGTGCGCATTTGTGAGCCTATTCAATGGAAGGGTGGTTTTTACTGGAGTCTATTCAAAGCTGGGGTTCCCTCGAACGTCAAAAACTATAGGTCCATCCTAGGTTCCTCCCAAGTCGGCAAACGCTTTCGTGCTCTTGCGCGTGCCAGTGCTGTACCCTTCCTCACGGACGCTGCGGGGGTCAGTTCGGAGGTATCCCAGGCCGAGGCACGGAGTTCCCAGCTTTGGAGTTTCGGGTATTTCAACAGAGAGCCGAGGCCGAAAACAAATCTGTTATGATGCTTTTCATCGACGCGGTGCAGGCTTTTTACAAATCAGTTCGGGAGCTGGTTTTTCGCACCTCCGCCAGCGACGGAGCAGTGGCAGCCCAGCTGAAGTTCTGTGGTCTCCCAGCGGAGGCTACTCATGAGCTGGCCGAACATATCAAGCATGGTATCCCTATCCTGGAGCAGTGTAGTGTTTCCGCTCTTCGTCGGGGGCAGTTTTCGGACTCGTATGAACAATCCTGGTTCTATATTCGGGACGGTGATGGTGTGGCGTTTCCTTCCTTGGGCTCTGGACCTGGTCAGCAGCTGGGGGATGTCGTCTTCAATTTCGTTATGTCCAAAATCATGGCCATTGCTCAGGAGGGTCTCCTAGAATGGGGGGTAGGTCTACATATTCCGTGCCACTTTTCGTCCTCGCTCGCAGTATACCGTGCTCAAGGAGCACAGGAAGCTCCAGTGCGCCAGTGCCGCGTCCTGGACGGTGCCTTTTTTCGATGATGCGCTATTCTGCTTCGCTGGTCGTGCAAGTGATCTCCTATTTCAAGCGCCGTCTGTTGCTGCAGTGGTCATCGAGGCCTTTACGCCCCTTGGTCTCCAGATCAATGCCAAGCCAGGCAGGTCAGCCTTTATGTTTCAGTTCAGAGGTCCGACGTCTAAGATTGCCAACCGTGCTCTTGTTCATGAGCAACATAACATTATACGTACTCGTACACACACTTTGGGTGATGTAGAACTTCATCGGGTTCAAGAGTATGTTCACCTTGGGACTAAACGCGACATGTCGGCCTCAATTGGGCCCGAACTGGCACACAGGATCCATGGTTGCTCCCAGGCCTGGAAGGTTCTCAAGTCCAAGGTGCTCAAAGACAAGGTCATTGACACGCATGTGGCCCTCGCGTTCCTGGATTCCCTGGTTTGCTCTGGGAGGCTCTTTCAGGCCAGTGCTTGGGGCTACCTATCGTCTGCTCAGTATCGACACTTGCAGGGCGGCTTGATGTCGCATTATAGAGTTATCGCCAAACTCCCGAGGACTGACGAATCTATTGTTTCCCACGACTGTGTGCTCGCGCAAGTGTGTCGACCACCTTTGCAGGCCCTACTTTCAGCTCATCGACTTTGCTTGTTCGGCCGTTTACTGAGGACAGGGCCTCCTCACATTTTGGCTCTTGTTCATGATGCCATGCGTATCTCGTCGGGGACCTGGGGCCAGATGGTTATGGAGGATCTTCGTTGGTTGCAGTTATGCTCCCATCGCTTCCGGGATCTCGCCGACCCGGAAGCAGACGTGTCGTGCTGGGAGCTCGCGGCTTTGAAATCCCTGTCTTCGTGGAAGCAAACCATCCAGATGGCCCTCGGCTCCCATGTTAGGCAATTTCAAAGGGCACACTTGCTAGAAGTGCAGAGGCGCACATGCTTTGCATTCTCGAGTCTGCTGGCGCGCCGCCAGCATGGGGCGATCCCCGCCACCGTTTACGTGCACAGGAGCAAGCGGATGCCAAACTGTATTCTTGTATGTGGTGCTCTATGAGGTTTGCTCGTATTCGTGGGCCCAGGGCCCACATTCAACGCAATCATCATCCCAGCGTCGATTTCATTCGGAACTGCCTAGGGCCAGAACTACATTGTCGGTCTTGTTTCCAGAGGTTTGCGCATCGGTCGGCGCACACTTGGCATTCGACTCTCCGCGGTGCGCAGTTGGCCTGATTATTGCGGAGCCTTGCTGCACGGTGGCTGAAGCTCAGCAACTGCAGCAGGCAGAACACGAACGCCTCCGAGCACAGCGCGCAGCAGGCCAAGGCCGATGGCGCACGGAGGTACCCGCTACCAAGCTAGTCGGTTCGACTCGGCACCAATTTATTCGTGATAGTGTTTGGCCCCTCTCCCAACGTGACGCCCTTCGCGTCCTACTCGAGACCGACCCCGCTATCCCCAACGACGACATAGAGCAGTACCTTCAGATATTCTCGGACGAACCTCCCCCCGAGGACCCTTCCCTGGAGGTCCCGTTCTACGTGTGCAATCCTCGTGAATTCTCGGGAATCTCCACTACTTCGGTGCCGATTCGAATTCGCCGACCTACCCTCTACGTGTTGAACCTCTACTGCGGACGCAGGAGACAGGGCGACGTGCAGTGGCATGTCGAGTGTACTTGCACGCAGCCTTCCATTGAATTGATAGTATTCAGCGTGGACATTGCCATTGACGCAGTGCGAGGAGACCATGCAAGGGAGAGTACGTTATTGGAATGGATTGAACACATCAGGTGCCTCAGAGAGGTCAACACTGGGGGGGGGCGGGGGGGCTTGTGAGACATGGTCTGCCTCCAGGTGGCACGAGGGAGGCCCCCCCCCCCACTCAGGTCCCCAGACTACGTATGGGGTATGCCGTGGGTGTCTTGGCGTCAATCTGAGCAACTTCGAGTGGGGTCTCAGCTTCTACATTCTCTGGTTCGGCTTCCGGCAGAACATCTAAGGGCTGGCACGGGGGGGTGGCTTGAACACCCTTCCCCTGCCACATGGGCCCCTAGGGCCCCTTCTAGTTTCAGATGGCGGCCCATGGAGGCCATTGCAGCAGCGCCCTGCGCGCGTATCACGTCTTTCGATCAATGTGCACATCAGGATCCACAGGTTGATCCTAGCACGGTGGGCCGAGCGCCCACTACCATTTTGTCTATTCGTATGGGGACCCTGCCAGACCTCCTCAAGGCCACTACAGGTTCTGGTAGGTGCTCTCACGGGCGCCAGGCCCATCGCACGCTTTTAGGCAAGAGTTCTTCAGGTCAGTTTCGTACTGCGTCTAAGAAGACATACCCATCCAGTTTGTGCCGTGCTCTAGCCACTGCTATCGTGGATAGCATCAGCGTTCTTCTCCCCCCGTCCTTGGAGCCTCCCTCCTCCTCCGACGAAGAAGTATACGAAGTGGCGGAATATCCGCCCGACTTGCAAGACGTTCGAGAGTCGCTTTGTGAGTTTTTCGTTTCCTGGGACCGTAAGGCTCAGCAAAGTTTCGAGCCTGCCCCTGACTTCGCAGGGATCAAACAGAGATCACGGACCAAGGACCAGCACGAGAGTTTCCGTTTTCTCGACTCAGACTCAGAGGAAGCTGAGGAGAATGGCGCCGAAGTTGTTCGTCCATCTTCTGACCCTGTGCTGCCCCCCTCGGAGTTTCCCCAGGATGCAGAGGCGGAGCAAGAGGTGGCGGATCAGCTCCCAGGGTCTCAAGAGGAGCAGGCGGCGGACTGGTTGTTGTCTCCCCCCTCCCCTGCCTTGCCTCCGCCTCCCCCGCCTGCTCCTCTCCCTCTTTCCTCCCAACAGCTGGATCGCATTGCCGCCAACCGAGCCCTGGCCCTGGCCAGGCGAGAGGAACGACGCCTGGCCGAGCGCCGAGCACGAGTTTTGTCTCCCCCACCCCCTCCCTGCTTCGCTGTTCCGCGCAGCGCCGCGCAGATCGAGCAGGACCAAGCACACACTCGTGCTCAGCTCAATGCTTGGTACAGCAGGCAGAGCTAAGGTGGTGGGTGGAAGGTTTGGTTTTAGCGCCCGTTGTCACATTTCAGTGCCGGTGGCCGGTGGACGAGTGCGGCAGTGACCGATACCGACGTTGAGCGAGCGAGCGAGCCTCCTGCTCGCCGCCCCTCCATCTCCCTCCCCTCTTCCCGCCTCCCCCCTCCCCCCTCCTCCCTCCTCCTGCTCGCCACCCCATCCATCTCCCTCCCCTCTTCCCGCCTCCCCCCTCCTCCCTCCTCCCGCCTCCTGGGCAGGCGCTCGGCTTCGCCCCAGAGGCCGTGCAGCGGGCCACCGCCTTCTTCCAGCAGGGGCAGCCCTCGGCCAGCCCCGCCCGCCGCGCGGGGGCGGGCCTTCCGGTTGGGAGGGCGGCCCATGGCTGCGGTCAGGCGTCTGGGGGACTGAGGTCCCCGAGGAGGAAAAGGTGCCGATGCCGCTGCCCTTCCCTCGAGAGCCCGCCTTTGGGGGCTTCCCGGGCGGCCCTCGCCGCCACCGCTGGGTTCGTCTCGAACGCCTGGTCGGGACGCGCCCCGGGAGAGGTCCAGGGAGTAGCGGTATCGGTGTATTCGGGTTTCCCCAGGATTTTGGGGATGAGGTCTGGTAGGCCAGGTGGCGAAATCTATGCATATCCTCCGCTCTTTGGCTGCGTCCTTTTGGGCGCAGGAGCTGCGTAGGCGCCCCCTTTGCCAAGCCAGGAAGGCGTGGCGCATACGCCGCTGCTGGGTTCAGGATGGGCGTGTCCAGGGAGCAGAGGATATGTACTTCTAGACTTTGTCGCCCCGTGGAGTCCCGGGCTGCGCACGCACAGCCTCCCAAAAGTGTGGCCTCGAGAGGCCCACCTGGCGGTCCCAGCTGGCCTCAGCAGGCTCCTCCGAGCAGTTCGGGGCCGTCGCAGTGCTCTGGCGCCGCCTCCAGCGGCGCCCCCGGGCGCGTTCCGCGCCTCAAGGTGGGGGCCGTCGGGGCCGCCCTGTGCTGTCCCGGGGGGCCCCTGTGGAGGCCAGCCGGAACTATCCGAGGGGGCCTGTGGAGGCCAGCCGGCTCTGCCTGGGAGATCAGCGGGGGGGGGGGCGTTCCGTGCGCAGCCCGAAGCCTATTTAACGAGGTCCGCACTGGCTTCGGCAGCCGCGCACGCAGGATGATGATGATGATGATGATGATGATGATGATGATGATGATGATGATGATGATGATGATGATGATGATGATGATGATGATGATGATGATGATGATGATGATGATGATGATGATGATGATGATGATGATGATGATGATGATGATGATGATGATGATGATGATGATGATGATGATGATGATGATGATGATGATGATGATGATGATGATGATGATGATGATGATGATGCTGATGCTGATGATGATGATGATGATGATGATGATGATGATGATGATGATGATGATGATGATGATGATGATGGTGGTGGTGGTGGTGGTGGTGGTGGTGGTGGTGGTGGTGGTGGTGGTGGTGGTGGTGGTGGTGGTGGTGGTGGTGGTGATGATGATGATGATGATGATGATGATGATGATGATGATGATGATGATGATGATGATGATGTGGAGAAGCATGAGAACAGCACAGACGCAAAGAAGAAGCGGGTCAACAATTGGGTCGGCGCCAGGGTCCCCCTGGCGGCGCCTCCGTCGCCGCTTCTGGCGCGCTCCGCGCGCCGGGGAAGGAGGTCCAGCGACGGTATGCTGACTCCGCGCGTATATAGCTCCAAGAGTTATGGTTCTTAAGTTTCTCTGTTTAGGAGCTTGATTCTCCCAAGGTCCTTCCGCGGATTTTCCTCGATTTTCCTCAGATGTTCCTTGTGACCCTGGGAGCAAGAGCAACCGAGGCCTGATGGGGCCTCGTCCTTTTCCCGAGGTTCCTTGCGGCAAGCCCTCGGCTGCACACGCCTCCTTCGATGCTGGCCCCGGCCCGTGCTTCTGGCGGGCCCACGACTGGGACACATGCTTGTGGAATAGGACGCTGAGGAGGAACAGCTCTGATGTATAGACGTGGTCTATCTCCACGAACGTTTAAGGCATGTTGGATGCCATCGAGAACTTCTCGTTCCCTCTTGGGGAGCCTGGCGAGCGCCCTGGGACGCCCTCGGAGGGTCCTCGAGCGCTCTCCGGGGCGGCCGCGGCGCCCCCGCTGCGCGCCCTCCGGACCCGCGGGCTCTCTCGGAGAGAGCTCCTCGAGGCACCCCCACTCGCCGAGCTTTGTCCCGGCCTCGGCCTCGCCCCGGCCCCGGGCCGGGGGCTCTCACCGAGCGCGCTCGCGCTGCTCGCAGAGTGCCCACTCGCCAACTCTCAGAGATCCTCGAGGCACCCCACGCCGAGCTCGTCCCAGCCTCGGCCTCGCCCCGGCCCCGGGCCGGGGGAGCTCACCGAGAGCGTTCTGGATCCCACGCCGAGCTTGTCCCGGCCTCGGTCTCGTCCCGGCCCTGGGCCGGGGGAGCTCACCGAGCGCGCCCTCGCTGCTCACAGAGTGCCCATTCGCCAACGTCCCAAAAGCATGTCTTCCTCGATGTAGTGGATCCCACGCCGAGCTCGTCCCGGTCTCGGCCTCGTCCCGGCCCCGGGCCAGGGGAGCTCGCCGCGCGCGTTCGCGCTGCTCGCAGAGTGTCGGGGGCGGCAAAAGAGGGGGGTGGTGACCAGGGGGGGGGGTGGATGTCGTGGCGGGGGCCATGATATCTCCCAGGATGTCACGGGGCCTCTTCTTGTTGTATTGCGTCCCTGGCCCCCCCGCTGGGCCGCGCACATGCCGCCGGTCATAATTTGCACCCTCCCCTCTTGGACACCCCCCTCTTGCCCGCTCCCGAGGGTGCCCACTCGCTAACGTCTCAAAACCATGTCTTCCTCTATGTAGTGGATCGCAAGTCCCACGCGGCGGATCCAGGCCATTTGCGAGCAGGTGTTTTGCGAGCAGTGTCGGCCTAGAGGTTGACACCGGCACCACTATCGGCGGTGTGCGTCCACCGAGGGAAGCACATCCCGATCTCGGTGATGGTGGGAAGGCTCTGGCTTCCGAGGCGACCGAGACGTTGCCACCGGCACCGAACTCTGGGGGACCCTCTTCCCCGTGTGTAGGCACCCCCCCGTGTTGGTGTTGGTGCCCATCTCCTCTGGGCCTCCCAAAGTGCTGCCGCAGACATGCGGCGTCCTGATTTTTTCAGGACGGCGTCCCTGGAAGTCCCGACCCTTTCCCCGGGGCCGCGGCTTCTCGGCCCGAGTCGTTTTTTGACGGTCCCGAGGCCCGGCGAGGGCTTCCAGGAGCCGAAAATAGCCAAGCATCTCCCGTCCTGATTCTTTTACGACGCCATCCTGTGTGGGAGTGCTGCGCGCTCGCCCCGGGTCGGTGGGCGGGCGCCCTCCCGGGGCCGCTGCCGGGAGGGCGGGCGGCCTCCGCCCAGGGCCGGGGGCACCGAGCCGGGCTCGATGCGGGCGTGCGCCCGCCCGCCGCCGCCGCTGCCGCTCCATGGGCGCCGCCGCCGCCCTGCCGCGGCGGCGGCCCTCGGGCGCCGTCCCTCCCCGGAACTCTGGGTCGGGACGACCGACATGGGTACGTCGGGGGCGGCAAAGAGGGGGGTGGTGACTAGTGACTAGGGGGGGTGGATGTCGTGACGGGGGCCATGATATCTCCCCAGATTTCATGGCGCCTCCTCTTGTTTCATGGGTCCGTGGCCCCCCCGCTGGGCCGCGCACATGCCGCGGGTCATGATTTGCACCCTCCCCTCTTGGACACCCCCCTCTTTGCCGCTCCCGATCTGGTCGGGACGACCGACATGGGTACGGAAGGAATGGTTACAATGCCCAACAGCAGCTCTTGTTCATTTTGAACAGGTCTCGCTGTCCACGCCGCCGCGGCCCGTGTCTATTTGAGGCAGGAGGCCGCCTGCCCAACAGCGGCCGCTGCTGGTTTGGGACAACATTTGTTGTTGGGCATTGTACCCATTTTTTCCGTACTTATTTCGGGCGTCCAAATCTGGAGGCGAGGCCTTTTGGGCCTCTCAGATGTGGTCGGAGTCGACGGGGTCGGATGACTGCGCCGCATCCCTGGTGTGTGGGCGATGCGGCTCCATGCGGAGCCCGCTCCGCTCCACGTCGACGTCACCGATGCACCGCCGATGTCGACGTTGCATTGCCGGTGCATCGCCGACACATCGCCGATGCATCGCCGATGTATCGGCGATGCGGCGCGATCCTCCGAGCCCATCTGCTCCGACCCCATCTAGTAGGAGGCCTCTCTGGAGGCAAAGCAGAGCATGAGACCCGTCGTCGCCCGCATGCAGCGGCCGTCCCCGGTCGCCGCCGCTCCCCGCGGTCCTTCCCGTGCCTCCCCGCGTCTGTCGGGGGTGGAAAAGAGGGGGGTGATGACTAGGGGGGGGGGAATATCATGGCGGGGGTCATGATATTTCCCCAGCTTTCATGGCGCCTCTTCTTATTTCATTACGTCCCTGGCCCCCCCGCTGGGCCGCGCACATGCCGCCGGTCATGATTTGCAACCCCCCCTCTTGGCCGCTCCCGACGTCTGGCACGGAGGTCTCCCCGCGTCTGGCGTCCAGAGGTCGCTCCTGGGCCCCAGGACCGTCAGGGAGGGACCTGGGGCAAAGTGCCGGGTCCGAGGCCCGAGGGGCCAGAGACCTGACAAATCGAGTTGCTGGAGGTCGTCGTCGTCGTCGTCGTCGTCGTCGTCGTCGTCGTCGAAGCTTTCGTCGTCGTCGTGGTTGCTGTCGTTCGTCGTCGTTGCCGCCGTCGTCGCCGTTGTCGTTGTTTCGGACGTCGCCGTCGTCGGTCGTCGTCGTCGTCGTCGTCGTCGTCGTCGGCGGCGGCGGCGGCGGCGTCGTCGTCCGTCGTCGTCGTCGTCGTCGTCGTCGTCGTCGTCGTCGTCGTCGTCGTTGCTCGTTGCTCGCCGTCGTCGTCGTCGTCGTCTTCGTCGTCGTCCTCAGCGCGGGACGCACTCGGTCAGATCCCCCCGGGGGTGGGGGCGCGGCTGCGCGGGGGAGGCACCGTGAAGCCTCGCGCGGGAAGGTCGTTGTGTGTTCCACCTTTCTTAGCAAGCTGCAGGTCCTCCTCCTCCGCCTCCTCCTCTTTCCCCTCCTCCTCCTCCTCCTCCTCCTCCTCCTCCTCCTCCTCTTTCTCCTCCTCCCCCTCCTCCCTCGGCTGTCCGCGGAGGTGTTTCAGCAGGTTGCATCGGCACTCTCACGTGGGATGCGCGAGTGTGCACTTTACATGGTCCTTCTGATTTTTTTAAGCCTGCCTGCTGATCCTTGTTTCTGTCTTGAGCTCAGCATGGCAGCGGTCCCTAGCATAAGAAACC